TGGGCAGCCAAGGAAACTTAGGCTGGAGGGGTAGGTGAGGGTGGACTATGAAGGGTCTCACCTGCAGGCTGAGGAGCTCAGACCTGACCCTGTGAGCCAGTGCTTCTCAAAACAGCTGTGGCAAAGGGGCAGGTGTTGACATGTCCACTATCACACATGACACTCACTCTCCCCTTTGTCTTCCTCTCTTCATACACAGGTAACACAGTGACCACACTGGCACAGGCAGCAGGCCACAGTGGTGGTGGTATACAACACCCAAGAGTGTTTCAGGGTAGCGTAAGTGCAGCATGGTCCAGTGGGCCTTTGTGGAAGGTCTGATGGCTGCTCAATGAGTGAATGGAGGACTGAGATGGGCAGAGACAGTGGGAGGCAGTGATGGCAATCAACAGTCTGCCATGTTGATACCCTGAGTCTGGCACAGGGGATTGAGGAGTCTGATTCAGATTCAGGAGGTAGTTCCTAAATCTCCACAATGGGATACGGTGACCAAGTGGTCACTGAGAGGAAAGTAGCAGAGTACCACTGTTTTCTAGACTGCCAGGCACAACCCTATTAGCACGGGGAGGAAGCAAGATAAGTAGCGCACATTCAGAAATGGAAACTCATCTGGGAATAAGATTGACTTCAAATCAAACAACTAGTTTTGTCCTCAGCCTTTCCTCCTGAAAAATCTCTAGCATTAACCACTCACAGAACACTTAGGAGTCAGGTTGGGAGAGTAGCACGTTACATATTTAGCATATTTTTATGATTAGTAAAGAATGGTTTTAAATTAGACACAGTCCTAAATGCCTACCATTATAGGAAAGGATACAGAAGGGGATGGAATAGGGTTACTAAAGAATAACTGATAATTTGATGAAGATTTGAGTGTTAAACTCCAGAAATAACTAATATTTTATGGTGAGTACAAGAAACCTAAGGCCTTCCTACAAATACTCACAAGAGTCCTTTCAACTCCACCAGGCCAAAGTGAGCTTGATAAAGCTAACCCCCCAAAACAACCACATGTGTACACCATTTTCAGTTTGCATTTGTTCTGAAATTGCAGAAATAAAACACACAACCCTGTTCACTGGAGGAATTTCAGATGATTGCTACTGTTACAAAACTTGGTTTAGAAAAATTTTACCTAGAGTAAAATGTCAGAATTCATATTAGTTCCAGAAAACAAAAATAAGAGTCTTTCTCTACTAGGTATAATTTGCCATTATGGTCCAAGAAATCTCCCCTTCTTGGAACTGCAACACATGTTTGGTTGAGGAACAAAAGCACCTGCCAAAAACAACAGCCAGGGAACCATAAAATAGAGTCACAAATACGTGTTCTGAAGAGCCCCAGTTTGATGTGTTGCCCCCATCTTTGGCCCGATATGCTTCCCCCTAAAAGACACCCTTGCCTCTGTGAGGTCTTCCTCAAAGGGATCTTCCCTGTTTAAAACTGCAGCCCACACCCCCACCCAATGTAGCATTGTCCATTCCTCTTCCTGCTCCATTTTTCCTCCACAGCTACCATAAATTTCTTTGTTTGTTTCCACCTCTAGAATGAAAACTCTACAAGGGCAAGGAAGTTTGCTTGTTCTGTTCCCTTGCTGTATTCTCAGGGCCTAGAATATCTTTATAATCCAGCTACTTATTAATCCTTTAGATTTTTTTTTTTTGAGATAGGGTCTTAGTGAGTTGCCCAGGTGCAAACTTCTGATTCCCCTGCCTCAGCCTCTCAAAGTGCTAGAATTACAGATGTGTGCTACCTTCTGCAGCTAAAATACCAATTTTGAAATCTTTTTTTATAACCACAAGATTAAAATCAAACTGCCAACTCACAATATCAACACATTTCTCCCTCTGTTTCTCTCCCTTTCTTTCTCAGCTTTTTTTTAAAAAAAATTTTTTTTATTTTAAGATTTTTAAAATTTATATATTAATTGGTACATTTTAGGTATACAATACATTTACATTTATCATTGGGTGCTTGTACCTGTATATGATGTATCTTGGTTCTTATTTTTTCCCCCATTACCTATGCAACCTTCACCCCCTCCACTCTTCCCTATTTACATAGACTTTGATTCCATTTTTTTTCTTTCTCATAATTTTTCCTTTCCCTTCTTCCCTTTTCCCTTCCCCTCCCGCCACCCCTACCCCTTTGGACCTTTTCCTATTTCAAATTATCAATTACTCGTTTTAATCATTTTCATCCTTACACTTTCAGTTTCTCACACTAGAGATACTATTCGGTATTTACACATTTTTAAATACTGGGGATTGAACCCAAGAAGCACTGAGCTACATCCTCAGCTTTTTGTTTTCTTAAATTTTTTTTTTTTTTTGAGACAAGGTCTTATGTAGTTCAGGCTGGTCTAGAACTCATGGCAATCCTCCTGCCTCAGCCTCCAGAGTGCTGAGATTATAGGAATGTAGCACCACATTCGACTTGTTTTTTAAATTTTTGGTCAAGAAATCACTAAAGCGGCCTGCCTGAAACTTGTGATCCTTCTGCCTGTCTCCTAAGTAACTGAGATTATAGGCGTGCACCACCTGGCCCAACTTGCCATCACTAATCTTTGTATAGAAATATAAACTGAAGTTATTGATTAATTCAGGGCTGAATTAACAATTCACTTTTAAAAGCCAGTTTATTCTTAGCAAAGCAATAAGATCTAGAACATAATGACTACTACTTGAAATCATTAGACCTTAATCAGATTTCTCTAATTTCTCCTTCAAATGTTGTTAAACTCCGCCTCCGTGCTTCTCCTCCCTATCAAGTCAGCGGATTCTGCTCCTTCTATCTCTGATACACCTCTCATCCTTCCCACCCCTTCCCTTCACCCAACCCCTTTTTCAGGTCACCTTCCTATCTCTCATTCCCCTCAACACACGCACACGCGCACGCGCTCTGCCCCCCCCCCCCCCCCCCCCCCCCGCGCGGGAATTATCTGAAAGCAGAGCATTGGTTGAGTCACTTACCTGCTCCAGCACATTAATGGTTCTTGGCTTCCTACTCAATGAGTAAGGCTTCATCTACCCTGTGGCCCTCCCACATTCTCATGGCAAAGCATCTGCAAGCTCCTGGGGAATGACCCTGTACCCGAGCCCCGAAGCCTCCTCTGCTCTTTTCTAGGCCTCCCTCATGCCTGAAACTGGACTCACCCTCCTCAGCTTACCTCCAACACCATAGCTACACACAGCTTTTCTTGCCCCTGCATGGGTACAGGTTCACAGCACTTCACCAGTACCTCTCTGGGGTGGTCACAGAACCCTGCTCTGTTGAGGTTCTGTATACTTGTGTTTACTCCCCACCAGACCACAGACACTTTGGAGACAAGGGCTCCCTATTTCTTCTTTGTATCCCATATAGTGTCTTTCCCAGTCTAGATTCTCTAAATACACATTAAATGGAAGAGAAAGAAAGAAAAAAAGAAGACAAATTATTTTAGCTCTAAGTTATAAGAGGACAAATTGATTTGTATATTTGACCAAGTAATAGACCAAACTGGACACAATTGTGCTGGGTATAGCCAAGGCTACTTGAAGACCTGGAGAATATCAACTTAAAATTAGATGTTACATTAAATCAAAATTGAGGATGGATGATTTAAGAATAACATTTGACTTCTGAATAACAAAAGAAAAGTAAAGAGCAAGAAAAAAAAAACTAGATGTCCAGAAGGGCTGGGGATTTAGCTCAGTGGTTCCATCACCTGTCTCGCAAGTGCAAGGTCCCGAGTTCGAACCCTGGTACAAAAAACAAAACAAAAAAAAACTAGATATGCAGGGAAAAACAGAGCAGAATGAAGTAGCTCAGGGCAAACACAGCCTGACTGGAAACACTGAAAGTGAGGGCTGGGTCCTAAAACTCAATGACCAAAATGTTTCTCAATCCAAAAGAGACTTGTTCATTTTCATCTTTACACACAATAGGAAATTCTGAAATTTAAAGTATTCTGCTTTCATGTAAAACACTGCAAGGTTTAAGCATGAAAGACAGTACAGATAATGTTCTGAGAGCCTGCAAGGTAAACCTTACTACTGAAAAGGCCAGCCACTCTGACAGCTTGACGTTCTTGCTGATCCAAGCAGGCCCTGTAATGGTGAGGCCTATAGTGCCCTGGCTGCTCTCACCTACGGATGGGAACCAGGTTTGTTGTTGAAGTGACAAGATGAAGTGTGACTAATATTTTTCCATTAGAATACTGTTTGGGAATGCTTTCTTAACAAAGGAAAACTACTTGCTGTGTTCATAAAAATAAATGAGCCGCAGAACAGTGACAAAAGAAAACATGCCAGTCAGACCTGAACTGGGATCTAATGAGAATTATTACTGGACAGAATAATAGAAATGACACTGAAAGTCCCAAATCCTGAGATTCATGGCTTTATCTCATAACATTACTTTGAAAATCAAATACAATTAATTTCCCAGACCAGGGCTTCACTCTGCAATTGCTACAAGAAAAAAAGATCATAAGATGGACACATGAGAAGTTAAATGAGAAACAAGCTTAGTGTTTTACTTCCCTCTCCACAATAGCCCAATAAAGTGGTTAACCTGGACGGATGTCAAATCTTACACCCCTCAGTTATTTCAGAGTCTATTAAAAACAAATGAGTAATTTGAGGAGTTAAGAAGACATCTTCTTGTAATTACCATTACAAGATTCTAATCATTAGAACTTAACAAATCTAATGTGAGATGTCTTCATAAAGACTAGCCAGTGGAAGGTATTCATAAAAAAGCCTAGAGCTATTTAAACGTGAACTCTGGACAGAAAGAAGCAATAGCTTAAGACACTTCTTCAACTGATACTCTTAGTGGATAATCACAATTCAGGCTGTAGACACACGCTTTGAGTAGAATTCCTCTTCCTCTCTTTATTCCATTCTCCTTTCTTATTGTATTACGTAACATATAACCATTTTTCTTTCTCTGGAATATGTTTACTTGGAAGCAGCTAAACAAATGCCCACAGCACTCAAGGCCCAAATCCAAATTACCTTCTTTTAAAGTCCATTTGATTGAGCCTGTCCTCTTGCTGACAGCGTGCAAACTTCCATCCAAGGTTGACACAAACAGCAAGGTTTCAGGCAGTGTCACTGTGCTGGTACTTGCAAAAATCTGCAATGGGATGGGAATGGGACGTATAAGAGTCTCACATCAATACACTTCTTTACTTTGGGCATGAACAACCACAGCTTCTTCATAAAACCCTCCATCTGACAGATGAAGAAACTGAGCTTGGAGGGATCTATAGTCTCATCCAGGGTATGTGTCTAGACAACAGCTGAGTCAGGACTAGAACCAGTCACCTTTATTCTAAGTACTGATCCTACCTGCAGACAGGAAGGCCCGTGACAAGGAGGGAGTGCTGAAACAATCCATGGGCAGGTTCCACTGACACCTAGGATGACATTCTCGGCCTTCTGACTTCCTTCTCTCAGGTCTAATTCAGTCTCTAAAACCTGGTCATCTCACAAGACTCCATGATTTTAAAAAAAAGGATGCTAACACCCACCCCTCAACATACACACAGACATTTTATAAAGTAAAGAATTAGAGGAATATGTTTAACGCAAAATAGGAAAAATAGCTTTTGTTAAATAATTTACATGATAAAACATCCATCTTCCACTGAAGACATGCTATAAAAGTAAACTAATAAAAAGCGTAACTCCAAAGTATTTTTTACAGTCATGATACAATTTAAATTAAAACATACCTTTTTTTGTTCAAATTATGAAAAAAATTATGAAAATAGACAAAGAATGTAAAATTATCTTTCTCATCCATTGCCTGTTGCATTGAAAAGTATACATTACTAGCTGGCAAAGAATGCCTGTAATTCAAGGTTCTCAGGAAGCTGAGGCAGGAAGGTCACAAGTTCAAAAGGGCTGAGGATGTAACTCAGGGCTCCTTGAGTTCAATCTCCTGTACTTAATACTTTTTGATCCTGTAATTCCATTTCTATCCCCTAAAGAAATAATCCTAGATATGGAAAAGGCTCTGGGAGATAATACTTATTACATCCTGCTTAAAAACAAGCCACAAAGAACCAATTCCCAATAATATCCAAAAGGCTAAAATCAATTAAGATACATATGCTTGATGAAATATTACATAAGCATTAACACAGAACTTAGAAAAATTTGCAATACAGAAAAATGCTTATATACATTATCTGGTGAAAAATACAGAATCCAAAATTTTGGATTATACAATTATGACTGCTGTGCACCATAATTATAATTATGTTCAACAGATTTTTGTCTGCCTGTCTTCTGGTGGTACCCTCAACCTCACATGGTTTCCATGGAACAGCAGTGTGCACAGTTGGTAAGGTTTCCTAGGTAAGGCTTCTCTATTGAGATAGGGCCTATTCACCAAGGCCACCCTTGTAATAAGATTTTCTCTTCCTCTGCCACTATACTGTCCAGCAAATGAGCTTGCTCCTGTGTGTGGGCCTTAGATTAAAAGCAGGTCAACACAGTTTGCTTTTACTGCAACAGTTTGAATTTAGGCATAAATAGTATTTTTAAAATATAGAAGTATGGTTGGCCTTTAATATTAAACACAAAAAGATTGTGGCGGGGGGGTTACTTGTACATGGGAGCCTGACCCCAGAATGACTGGTCACTCTTGTAAAGAACCAGGATGATGCCAGCTAATCCCTTAAAAGGGAAGGCCCCATGGCACTCTCCAAGGGCAGCCTGAGGTGGCTGGTCCCTGCACTGCTTTTCCACAGGACCCCCACCGGAAGGGGGATGTTAACGCAACTGCCAGAACCCTGCTCATCCCCTCTCTTGGTAATAAGATCTGGAGGGAGAGAGGTTCAGCCCTTAGCTCTGCCAAGCCAGGCCCACTCACCAGAAGGGGAGAGACAGTAGTAAACTTTACTTAGGCCTGCTGGGCCTATTCTTTGTGCAAAGCCTGGAGCCTGACGAAGAGGAGTCTGCTTTTCATTTTACCTATGACCAGCAAACTAGTCTCAGAGTAGGAACCAGTGAACAGGACCATCAAGGGTGGTGCCTGCCCTATGGAGGATTCAAAAGTCACCACCTGGGGAATCATTAAAATTATTGTAGCCCTCAGGCTCCAGAGGATGATAAACTACATCTGGACCTGCTCATCTGGCCCTAAGATAAGATGGCCGGGGCTGTAGCTAAATGAGACAAGGCTGTCTCCCATAGAGGGATGGATTTGCTGCTTGCAATGGGATGGCTGGATCATTAAGCTGAGCAGTTTAGGGGCTGAATAATGAAAACAGTAAGGTATACCAGGGCCCTAGGAAGCAGAAAGCTCCCTCCACCTGTCAAATAGTTACCACAAGAATAATCATTTTGTTTGACAGCCCTTGGGATCCACACAGGAATTGAGCTGGACTCTGGGTGGCTGAAGTGGAAGGAAATAAAACATGGGAGAACAAGCTGAATAAGAGAGAAAAGGCACAGAGAAACAACATAAAGAAGCCTGAGAAGAAATGTGACTCAAAAATTTGGAGAGAATAACCTGGCTTCTGTTGCTCCTCAAGCCTCAGCAACCTCTTCCCTCTAGCTCAGAGACCCCTCAAGTCCCTAAATTCCCCTCTTTGCTTAAGCTTCTTGGAATCAGATTTCTGTCATTTACAACCAAAATAGTTCACACCTCCACACTAATTTTTTAAAACGCAGATAGAAAAAAAAGATGAAAATATTGAAAAATTATAGCAATAGCTTTTTTCTTTTCTAGTTTTCTGAATTTTGTTGTTGTTACGGAGATCAAACTCGGGACCTTGAGCTTGCAAGGCAGGTGCAGTGGCACTGAGCTAAATCCCTGGCCCCTAGTTTTCTGAATTTTTTTTTTTGGTACGGGGATCTAACTTGGGACCTTGCACTTGGCGAAGCCGGCACCGCACCGAGCTAAATCCCCGGCCCTGTTTTCTGAATTTTTAATAATATGATCACGTAATCTGCAAGGAATCTTTCATAAACTAGAACGGAGATGAACAAGTTAGCAGGTGGGAGAGAAGCTGAAATTTAAAGGAGTCTCAATGAACACCTGAGTTTCAGGAGAAGCACTTTCCATCCCAGGGTATTAGGCAACTCAACTGCCTTTGATCACTAATACCCAGCAAGAGAGATAACAGCTTAGAAACACAGGCATCTTCCAACCAGACTGTGTGCATCCAAGAATAAAAGAATTTGTTGTTATTAAAGCCTACAAAGCAACAATAATAAACTAAATGCCCCTCAATATATCTTATCACAGTATTAATATTTAAAATGGTCACGACTCACTAAAACATTTCAGTGCTCCTTCACTACTAGTATGGAGACTAAAGCCACCTGCTTTGACTGAGCATCTGGCAAACCACAGGAAGAGCAATTGTCTACGGTTGGTTGGTGAATTAAAATAAAATACTAATAACACAACTAATGTAGTCTTCTAGAAATCTCAAAAGCATAAGGTTTAGAAAGAAGTTGAATTTAGCAACTAAGAGCTCTGACAGTTAATCACAATGTCCACAGTACCTCCCAAACCCTCTCACAACAGGCCAGTTCTTCTCTTTGAAGGTTCCTGGCTCTTTCAAATCAGGATGCCTGGGAAGCCACTCTGAACAGTGTCATGCTCTCACAAGGCACATGAATATTACACATATTCTAGCTTTTCCATCCAGGATTTTTGAAGCAAAAATGCCTGCCTTCAAATATAGTTGCTGTAACTAACATGAATTAAATATGCTTCTAGATGGCTTTTATGATTCTGAGCACAGCTAAGAACCATTTGTTCCTGAACATCAAAAAACACTGCTACACAATAATGAATTTGTTCATTATCTTCACCCAGTCATTTCAGTATTCAGCACTCACTTTTCTCCAAAACAGATGAAATAGCAATAGGCCCTACAGCTACACACATTAGTTTCCAGAGTATGAAAATGGAAAGAAAAGCCCAATTCTGCAGATCTGCTCCACACTGACTATCTGAAATGTGACTCATATTTAAAACTACTGGAGGGCTGGGGATTTAGCTCAGTAGCACCATGCCTGCCTCACAGGCGCACAAGGTCCTGAGTTCGATGCCCGGTACCAAAAAAAAAAAAACCCAAAAAACAAAACAAAAAGTAAAAATCCTTTTGGGCCAGGGATGTAGCTCAGTGACACCACTCCTGCCTCGAAAGCGCAAGGTCCTGAGTTCGATCCCCAGTACAAAAAAAAAAAAAAAACTACTGGAGTATCAGGGCCGGGGATTTAGCTCAGTGGTGCCACCTGCCTTGCAAGCACAAGGTCCTGAGTTGGATCCCCAGTACCCAAAATAAATAAATAAATAAAACTACTGGAGTATCAACTGATGAGTGAGATAAAGAAGATGAGCTTCGGACATTTATAGCTAAATGGATGGACCTTGAGACCATATTCTTAAGTGAAATAAATTGGACACATATGTTTAAATACCAAACTGTTTCTCTGGTGTGAGAAACTGAATGTGGAAATAAGGACTGAGATGTATAATGAATGTTGGGAAATGGGAAGGAGGACAAAAGAGGAAGAAGGGAGAAAGGAAGGAAGGGACAAAAAAAAAAGTGAAAATGGAAAAAATGGAAACAAAGCTTTTGTTCACAGGGAGGGGAGGGGGGAATGGGATAAAATAAAATAAAATTTGTTAATAAAAATAAAATAAAATAAAACTATGTTAGCTTTGTAGCCCAGGCTGGCCTTGAACTCACATGTAGTCCAGGCTGGTCTCAAACGCATGGCAATCCTCCTGCCTCAGCCATCTGAGTGCTGGGATTACAGGGGAGTGTTACCATGTCTGGCTCAGAGAGGATTTTAACAAGTCTCCCACCATGAAGACAAACGCAAGCTCGGGGTGGGGTTACGCTATCCACTGTTTCGATTAAAAATGCTCCACCAAGTCTGGCAGCTTCACATCTCATAAAAGGCACCACCCACGCTGCACTTACTACAGAGACATGGAAGTAACCACCAACCGTTTTTGCAGAGATGAATAATAGTCACCAACAATTTAATTATTCTCAATATTCTGAACTCTGTTAATTGTTAGTTCCTCTTCCATTAATTAACTCCTTATATTTCTGGTGAGAAAAAATAATCTTTCCTAAAACACCCTCTGAACTTCGT